ACAAAGGAACATCCTTTGTAAAAGATTAAAAAAAAATAAAAAAGGAAAACTGGTAGTTTTCTTCTTTAGATTCATGACCAGAATAGTAAAGTGGTGTCAAACATCACAGAACATTTGGATGCATCCATTAATAAGCAACGGGAAGCTTTTTTTCAAGGAGTCAGGTAGGACTAAGCTGCCAGATAATTAGTGAAAGAACTCTTTTATTGCCATCAACTATTGCTTCTGGTACCAAACTGAAAATTAAAAAAGCATTAGCTAGTCACTGTTTTCATTTCACTCCAGGAAGTCTGCAAGAGATACAACATTCCTTACTCAATGTACAAAATCTCCAGACTTACTGAATGGGGATCAAACCAGCATCTCAGCTTTTCTAATAAAAATTTTCAAGAAAGGAAGTGAAAAAAATAGCAACTTTTATTCTCCCCCACTCCTCCTTTCAACTTTTTTCTCTTTTTAAGTCTAATTTTACCTCTTTTAATGTTGCTACAGAAAAAGAGAGAAAGGAAAACAAATACAAAGGGAATAGAGCAAAATTTAAACTCTATTTCTGCACCTGGGAACAAAACAATGCTTTGTGGCTTTAAACAACAGTTTTCATTCAGTGAGGAACTGAATTTCTTAGTGATCCTTCAAGCAGGTATAATACTTTGAAGTAAGGATTGCAATCAAACAGAAGGGGGAAAAGAGAAGCAGCTGTTTTGTGAGAGCTCCCACAGGCTGCTGGAGAGCCTGCAGAGACCTGCTGACCACCAAAGAGCCTCTGAAGGCTCTCACTGCACTTACCTTTGAGCTCTCAAATCTCTACAACTCTCCTGAGCACACTCCAAATCACAAATGAATTTGTACCTCCCCTTCCTTGGCAGAATAAACCCAGAGTGTAGGGAAGCCGTTGTAAAGCTGACATCAAATTTAACAGTATTGAAATTATTTCACTCATAAACATTATTGAAAAATTTAATCTATAAACTCAAAGTACCCATGGGAATGCAAGCAGCAATAGGGAGGCCAAATGACAAGCTCAGACCTGGATCCTCAGCAAGTGCCTCAAAGACCTGTGGTGCCCCTGTAAAGCCTCCAAGTCTCCTGGAGGTTTGATTTCAAGGATGTGCTTTCTATGAAAAACATTGCTTTTTATTGCTCCTTTAGGAGCACAAGGAATGCAGAAAATAAACAGAGCTTCAGGATCTACTTGAAAGAGGTTTAAGGTAAGGCTCTAATTACACAAAGATTAAACAGCGCTGGTGATTTTAAAAAATATACAGCTCCTTGTAAACAGATATTTTGAACCACGTGGTCAAATCAAGCCAGTATTGGCACCAAATCTCCAACGAAGGTGCTATCCCCTTTTCTGGTGGCCAGAAATTTTGGCAAGCCCCAACTAATGGCTAATGTAGCTATTCTAATAGATCACTGTTCATATGGCTAAAGAAGTATCAAGCAAAGGCAGATAGATTCTTGTTCTCCCACCAGAACAATGTCCAGCCATCCTGCAAGGAGAGTGAGCCCAACACAGAAGTGCTGTAGTAGCACTGTCATCCCAAGTCTTTGCTCCCCTGCATGGGTCTCCCTTTCCCTCTCATGAAGCAGTTCTTGAACTCAGCTGACACAGAGACAGAAGATTTGAGTTCTTTCTGCCTCTTCTAACACACCAGTTTATGGAGAGAGCTGTAATCAGGTGCACTCAAGCCTGCCATGAGATCTCCACACACACCCTCCAGTGAAAATCCCAAATCACTCTGCTGGAAACAAGCAGACACCTTCTGTAGGAGGCCCAGGAGACCCAAGGGGATCACTCAATAACCCAGCTCACATGGCACACATATTCACTCAACTTCTTGCTCAACATGAGAAACAGCAAACTCCATGCAGAAGTGGAGCATGAATCAGTCATTTCTTAATAGGCTTGAAAAGAACAATCTAGTAAATTAAAATGTTGCAGCAGCCTGAGGGTTAATGCTGGTTAGGAAAGGATTCAGTGGAAACCCTTGGAAGGGTTAGGCTGGCAACTGCAGTGGAAATCACAAACAGAAGTGGAGACAATTGATGTGTCACTGCTGCTCCATGGGTCACCAACTGGAAAAATAGATTTATGCCTGTGAATATGGTAATATAAAACCCAGGGCAAGCCCGAGCTCTTCACTGTTCCCACATATTATAGCAGTGGAGACAGAAAAAAAAAAAACCAAAAAAAAAACCAAAAAAAAACCCAAAAAAACCCAAACCAAAACAGAAAAAAAAAAAATCAACCAACCAACCAACCAAAAAAACAACAAACCAACTGCTTTTTAAGTGTTTTCTTGACCTGATCTAGCACCTCTCATTTTAATATCTATTTGTTGACTAAGAAGAATCACTGAAGAAAGAAATTATTCCTTGGGGGGGGGGAAGAGGCGGGGAATTACAAATAAAATAATTTTCTCAGTGTTTCTGGGTAGCTTGTGGCTTACCTCTTAAAACCAGAGGATTTCTGGTGAAGAGCAGAAGGGTCAGCCTAGAAGGGTGAGAATACTGACATCCCCTGTCTCAAGATGTGGCGGTGTGGTGGGGGAAGCAGTCGCTGCTGCTTCCATAGGGGTCACTCAGGGCTGCGAGTCCCCCAAAATGAGGGGAGGTGTCACCCGGGGCTGCGGGCCCCCCAAAATGAGGAGGGGGCGCTTTGCCAGCCCCCGCTGCTGCAGTCTCGCTGGCGGCCAACAGGTGGCGCCACTGAACTTATGAGAAATGGCATTTACTAGAAAAAGGAAAGTTCTGTTAAATATCCCTTTCTTTTAAAGCCAAAAGCCCAAGGACGCGAACGATTTTTTTTTTTTCCCTCCTAGAAAAATGACCCTAGATCTGAGGTGAAACGTTGGCCTTCTGTGCATCCCACACAGAAACCCACTACCCCAACTGCATCACCGTGGAAGCACAGTAAAATAAAACAGGAAATAAAACTTCCAACTGGCCTCACCGACAGGCAAAAGCCCCAACAGCCGGGGCCAGCGAGGGAAGACTGGAGTTGTGCCTCCTCTCCTCTTCTCCTGACCTTTAGTCTCCAGTGTTTAGAGGAGCATGGAGCTTTTCACACTCTGTCAGCACACTTAATAAACAGGGTGTGCAAACTCATTTTTTACAGAGGCAGTGCCTTGAGTTTTTTGCTTTCTGGCAGCAAAAAGGACCATAGACCTTTTTTTGACCAGGACTGCAAGGATACAGGAGGCTCAGGCTGCCCACAAAGCCTGGCAGGTATGGCCTGATCAGCCTGCTGATAGCAGCTTCCTCTGCTCACACCTGATGCTGGCGAGACACAGCAGTCCGGCCAGGGCCACCCACTCCTGCTGATTCTGATCCTGATGGAGAGGGCCAGTGCCACCCTCAGGCATGGCACCCGCAGCTACTCAGCTTGCCAAGCGTGGCAGCAGGGCCAGGGCTGTGCCGTCCTCACCAGTGGGGAGGGACTTGTGTGCTTTCCCAGCCCAGTTAGCACTGAGCACAGGCATTTGCAATCGTGGTTCCTCTGCCAGGAACAGGAATGATACGTCTTTCTGCTAAATAAGCAATGCAGGTCGTCCTTTTCCTCCACAGATTCTTTGCAGGCCATGTCCTGCCCCAGTCTTCTGGCAAGAAGGGCTTGAATGTTTGTATTTTACTCTTGGTGAGTAAAATAAGCCTGCCAAATACACACAGCCCTGCTGCCTCTTGCTGCTGCTTAGCCACTGGAAAGCCAATTGGATGCTACATCCCCTCTCCAAAGAATGATCTGTATGTTTGTACACATGCTGGGTGGGGTGCAAAGAGTGGATTTGGGGTGCAGCTGACAGCAACACCATCCCAAAAGCACCTGGAGCTGGGTGGCTGTGATAGCACAACACTATTGATCCACAAGATGGGATCTGCACGTTCACATGGATGACGAGCAAGAAGGAGCAGTACAACATGTGTGGGTCGTGCTGACAGCCGGTCCCACGCTCCCAGTGCCTTTCCAGTTAGAACAGGGAATGACACAACTCCCACCTGCACAGCCACACATTCTTAAGGGGGGGCCCTTTACATGGGTCCACACCAAAAATAAATAATTTTTAAGAATAGTATTTAAAGAGCAGGTTCTGTTGCCAAGGGTTGAGTGGTGATCAGCAGAACTTCCACCATGGCCAAGAAGGGACAGAAAGGCTTTGCCTCCAGCCAGAGTAAGAAAGCGCAAGAGCTGGCAGCATCCCTCCTGACTTGCTTCTGGGGGTCAGCTGAGTCTTGATGATGCAGCATTCACCTTTGCCGGTCTCACTCCCAAGTCTACTGGGCTCTCCCCAGTTCTGCAGAGACTACAGGTGTAGCAGGGAGCCCTGCTCTGTGCCCTGCAGTCAGAGGTAACTACACCTCGTGCCATGGCACTGCTCTGCCTGCCTGAGAAACAGCAGAACCCTCCCTTCAATCTCTGTTGTCATTAAAAAAAAAGCCCTTTCTCCAGCACCCAGTTTGTTTCCTGTCTCTGACGCGAGTGACCCCCCTGAACTGGCACAGTCTCTAGAGCCCAGCAGCACAGTGCTCCCAGGGTGGTTTGTTTTAAAGTACAACAGGAGCTGCTTACACAGGTCAGGGCTCCCACTCCTGTGCCCACTTGGAACCCTGCCCACACTCACCGAAACCACCTGTGTTACACCAGTAGGAGAGTGGCAAATTTAAGAGCCTCAGAGTGCCAAGCAGATATGGGGGATTATTTCAACTTCATGGTTTCCCAGTGCTACGCACACACTCCTTGAAGAAATCCCTTAAAACTGTCTGCTTCCAAATAACCTATATACATCACTGGCTCCAAAGACGACACATGATGAAACGGCCTTACAAAACAAATCCTTACATTTCAGCCCAGCAGAGCTTCCAAGTGCATGGCAAAGCCAAGACAAACAAAGCACTGCTTTTGCATGCAAGCATATGTGGCTTGAAAATCCCCATTGTTGCTATATCCCAGAAAATGATTCACCCTCCCCACGGGGCTGTGCCTTGCCTCCGCACATTTCGCAAGGCTCCTGGCTTTATAACAGCGTGGCGGTGCACGCAGTGACTCCTGGCAGATTCCTGGGCTGGCTGCAGAGTGAGGAGGCAGCAGCTAACCCTCCTAATGATGATTTTCCTCTTGCAGTATTTCTTCTTGCTGGCCACAGACTTAGTGCTCGCCATGACCCTTTCCTGCCTCTTTTATGCCTTCGCATGTATTTCCATTGTGTTTCTGACCTGCTGCATTATCATCTTCTCCTTTGGCACTGCGGAGAGGAACGCTGATGTGAAAGGGAGAGCAATTGTAATTCTTGTGTCCAACAGCTCCATTGGGAGGATGTTTGCAAGGAACCTGGATAAAGCAGGTTTCGGGGTGTCTGCTGCACAGTGGTCTGCTCAAGAGGAGAGGACAGTGACAGAAGAGTGCTCATCGAACAAGGAGGTAGCCCAGCTCCACCTGACTGAAGACGAGTATCAGAAGACAGTGAAAACCTTCATAGAAAGCCACTTATCCCTGAAAGGTAACTTGTAGGGCAAACTTGTAGATTGTGCCTACTGTAGAAATTAAAATGCACAAGATTGTGGGATCATAGTTCAGCAAATGAGGAAGGCAGGAATGCTTTAGCAAACGGTAATAACACTCTTACTGCAATGCATTTTGTTGTGCAAAACAAAAATTTTGCTTTTTCCAGGGGAAAGAGACTGCTTTGGTGGCTGTGAAAGGCCCCAGCAGACCCCAGTCCCTGAAGGAAGGCAAGGTAGGCCAAGAAAGGAGGGGGAGAAGGTCCTATCAAGGCACAGAGGGCTGGACTTGCTCTGAGAAGAAAACACAGAAATGAACAATGGGGAGCAAAGCCCAGACAGTGACCGGAGGTGAAGGAATGTGTCTGATTTTTAACCTCTTCTGGATTAAAAAGGAACCCAGCTGAGTTCCCTCTTGACTTCTTGGCTGCTGTGAGTTTCCTAAAAGTCAGGTCAGAGCTTTGTGCGGCAGGTTGGGACAGTGTCCCTGAACCACACTGCCATTGTTTTGTGGGAATACAGGAGCGAAGGCAGCCTGCAGAGCTCATATTGGACAGCACGGGGCAAGTGTCCTACTGGGGATGGCTACAGGTACTGCTGGGGAATCTGCCCGGCCCTTCCCAGGTGAAGGTGCCAGTGGGAAGACTGGTTTATGCCCTGCTGAGGCACTCCTGGGACCCAGGACTGTGTCCCCCCAGCCATCATTTTACACCTCTTGGGAGTGACAGAGAATGTGGCCTCAGCCAGCAGGGCTGTACCCTCATTGCCCTCAGGGCTACAGGGTTACAAGGGAAGAGGCCAACCCCTCTCCTCCTCTGGGAACCTAGCTAAGGGCCCACTGAGTTGCAAAGCTCTCTCCTCCTCCATATTGCCACCCTCCTTCTCCGTCCCTCTCCTCCTTGCTCTGTCTCTCTGGTCTCTCCAAGGCTGGCTCCCTTTGGGCTCTCCCCAGGGCAGCCTCTCTGCTCGCTCCCACCGAGCTGGGATCTCAGAAAGCATCCACATCTCCCCGAGACAAGCAAGACCCTTGGCACTGCTGCCCAGCACTGAAAGTTGTCTCAGTGCTCCCAGGCCCGGCAGAGGAAGGACATTTTGGAAGTCAGAGCATGCACCACAAAGCCTCCTGTACTGCAGACACCCTTCGGAGGGGCGGTAGGGACCCTTAGTCAGCACCTGCTGCAGGCTGCAGCTGTTCAGGACACTGTTCCCTCACAGTGCTCTTCTCCTGAGAAGCACCCAGCAGACCAGCAGTGCCTGTGCAACTCTGCAAGGCCCAGGATGCATCCCCCAACTAATTGCCTGCTTGCAGGCTCCAGAAATGGCTCCCTGCACACCAGCAGTGGGTTTCAGACCGAGTGCTCAGCTGCCTGCATGAGCATTTAGGCTCATTTACCCTAGGAAAATTACTCTGGTAAAACCTTCTTGTGTGCACAAGGCCTAAAAGCTCCCCAAGCTAAGTATCAGCATAATCCTGCTCTGGAAATGAACAACAGAGGCTTTCTTAACCAGTAATGATGTGTGGGAGCTGATGATTTCTGTGGGCCTGTGCTGTTCTAATTAAATGAGGCTGTGGCACAGTGATACCTGTCTGTTTTTTTGCTCTTGACTAGTTTGGTCCCTGTGCTAGTTCAAGGCTTTTGCAGGTGTCATGTTGTTTTGACAGAGTGCTCTGTCATAGGATCTGTGAGATTTTGCATTTAGGATCTCCTTCATGATATTCATATCACAGACGTAGATGTGGAAATGTATTTCCCAAATGCTGACCCAATTGCATGGCAGATCAAAGCAGTAAGTTGGGAGGAGGAAAAAAAAAGAAAAATAACAGAAAAATAAAAAGAGAAAGAAAACCTCACTGTTTTCTTGGGTTTCTTTGTTAACAGTTTCGAGTGAGTGCTGATACTCATTTTGCAAAATTTACTGTGATATTTTTGGCATGGGTTAGGTGAACATGAACACTCAGTACCAACTGACTAATAATGAAAGAATTTAAACCAAATCAAAAGCCTATACTGGTGGGTCTCCACATGCAGTTTGGCCAGCAGGGTCTGGACAAGGGCAGGAGAAGAGTTAGTGCTGTAGGGCAGAACCATTACACAATCTTTGCCATTTGAAAACTTCTCTTATGCACTTTGTGTATGCAAATTTTAGTTCCAAAAGAAAGGAACTTTTTCTATTTTTTAATGGGCTTTGGTCTTTTTTTTTGTAATTACTTGGCCCTGTAGGATATTTTTACCATTGTATCTTTGCTATTATAAATAAAAACATACTTGTTCTATATAATCAAATCTTTTGAAATTAATCCTAAATGCCTTCCAAAGTAACACAGTGAAGACAGAATCCCACAGTCATGGTTCCTTCTAGAATGAAAATACTTATGACACCTAATATAATCTAGTTTTCATTCTAGTACAGGCCCAGCAACCCAAATTTTCAGGAAGACCAACACGTTTATTTTGCAGTGACTGTACAAGTTAATAAGATGCTATCAGGCCTAAGGAGATTGTAACAAAGACACAGAGTAATGCAAGCCAGCCCCCTTCCAAATTCTTCCTTTGCTGTATTATAGCTTAACTTGGTTCATAAAAAGCCTTTGGTTCTTCTGGCTTTTAGCCTTTGGTGTCTTTAGATGAGATATTCAAACTTTTTCTGTGACCAAAAGGTCAAAGAGACAGAGGGGAAAAGATGAGAGAAGGTGTTTTATTGCTCACCTCCAGTAGCTGAGCTTGTACTATCAGACATTGCAAGAGCCCTTGGCATCATGTCCAAGTGCTCTGTGATCTGCTGCTTGAGCAATGGCTGTGCCATGCTGCTCTTTGGGCAGGTTGCCTGGAAAGACTGGCCATTGCCTCATAAATTTCAGGACTGACTGCAGGGAGGGTGGGGTAGGGCAAAGAGGAAAAAATACGTAGAGATGGGCAAGACCCAACAGACAGCAACCCGACCTGACTCAAAACGAGTTCGGACAACCAGAGTGCTCACCTGGTTAACTGCTGGAGCCTCTGCTGTCACGGTTCCTCAGGGTTCACCTGGTCACACAACAGTCACGGGGCTAGGCAAAACCAGCACTGACTGTGCCAGAGGATTACACAGTTGTTTGGGTTGGGAGGGGCCTTAAAGGCCATCTAGGTGCTAGGTGTCCCTGCCCAATGCCATGGGCAGGGACACCTTCCACTAAACCTGGCTGCTCAAAGCCTCATCCAGCCTGGCCCTGAACACTTCCAGGGATGAGGCATCCTCTGTGGTTCCTCAGGTTCCCAGAGGAGAGATGATCCTTGATGTGAATAATGCCTCACACTGGACAGTTTTCTTCGGTTCGTTCAGACCTCTGCTATGCTGAAGCTGCTCACAAAAGTTCTGTTGGTTTTCACTGGGTCAGGATTTCATGTCTTGTACCAGGATCTCAGATAAGACCTGACAACTGCTGGATTCTTTGGTACTTACCACCTTCCCTCTGTCCCTGTCTCTCAAATAGGAAGGACAGAAACTTCTACACAAGCAGAGAAATAACTGATGCAAATTCATAACATTGATTCCTAAATAACATTAGGACCCATGTCCGAAACACTCTCTCACCACCACACTGCACCATGGCTTTTCAGACCAGCAGCAAATGCACATTTTCAAGCCTTGTTCTGCAGGCTCCAAAGGGCCTGGAAAGAGCTACCTACACAGACAGCTAGGCCAGTGGGAGATACTGGACTGTCATCCTTGGCCATCTGTCCTCATCTCCATGTTGCTGTTGGCAAAGCGGTTCTCATGACCTCTCTCTAAGTGAGTGCAGGCAGATCACCTTCTCATTTGATCAGTTTAAATAGGTGTGTTAAGCTGTGTTAATGCAGCTCATTACTTTCTTCTGCGCACCGTGGGATACTGATGCAATCTCTTTGAGGGAGCTGTGAGGGCAGCCATGCCAGCCCGGGCAGGCACAGCTGATCCTGGGTGAGGAGGGGTGGCAGCAGCTGCGGGGCTTGCTCAAGGAGATGCTGGCAGAGCTACACACAGCACTGGGCTGATGAGGCTTCCAGCAGCCCCGTGGCTCCTTGGACAGTCTCCACCTCTTCCAAAGGTCAGGCTGCTTTTGCAGTTCTGCTGTGCAGCAGATAGCAGTGGTAGATGCTCTCCTGGTACTTCCCCTTGCCTTGCACCTCTCCTTCAGCATTCCCAGACTTTAGTTTGCCATACAGTTTAGTCCAGGAAGGCTCTCTTGGGACACAGACCCAGAAAGGAAGACCCTACAGAGAGCCTGAACAGGAGACAGAGACGTTGGAACTGCAGCCTTGTGTGGTGGACACACTGTAGAAACTCTTCTGCTTCCTAAGGATGCCAGTGTGGTTGATCAGGTTATTTTATTAGAAGGTAACCCTGACTCACTGTCCATACTGTGCTTTCCTTAGGATAAAGGCAAGGCCATACAGCTCAGAGCAGAGAGAAAGCTCAGCTTTCTTTTGGAACAGTCTAGCTTAGTGTGTGGTACGAGCAGCCGTTCCCACAGCTGCAGAGACAGATTGAACAGATGCAATAATCATTGACTGCAATAAACTATAAGGCAGTAGAAATGAATAAAGCAAACAAAATCATACACTCATGCAATTTTAAAGAGTACTGCATTATTTAACTTCACTCAGCTACAACAACTGCAGGCCATCTTGGATAAATCAGCCCATTTTCCAAGCTGTAAATGACCACGTTTGGACTTACGAGTGAAATAAATAATTTTTGCAGCTATGCTTTTGTGCCCTTAATGGGGGTTATCCAGAAGTTTTTGGAAAACTGGCTTGCAATTACACTGCCTTCCTGTCTCTTGGGGATTTATCAAAATGAGATAAGCACTTTGATACAGCAGCATCAGGGCTGTAAAACAACCCAGAGAGAGAAAATAGATCTTATCCTGAAACGTAGGTTGGGAGGAGCTATGTATTTTAAGATGAAGGGGAGGTCTCCAATCAAAGCGTCCTTTTAAAAACAGGAATCTGTGCATCATCTAGAGTCAAGGTGTCTTTTTCTTTTTCCAAATGAAGCCCTGCATCCAGTAACTCTGGGCATTTTATGGGAGGCCAATTATCACTTAAAGTGGTTTTGCAATTCTCTTGTTTCAGCAGACAAGTTCTCCACCAAGCACCGAGCACCAGGGACATCCATATAGAACCTCCTGATTAAAGTGTTACACAATCCAGAAAAGCTGCAGCAACACTCCTCCTCCCCATCCCTCACTCATTGCCAGTGGGCAGAGCCCATTTGAATTCAAAACCTCCAGCCCAAAACTTTGGTTTTTTGCTTGTTGGTGGCCAGAGGACCACTGCTTGCAAACCAAGACGTTTAAGCAATAATTAAAAGTGCATGTTGGTCTGCCCTACGTTAAAGAGAGGGTTATGTATTTGGGTGCATTCAGAACACATGACCATGCTCACCACTAATATCAGCCATGACTACAATATGGAAAGAGGAGGAGGTGAAAGAGACACATACTGCCAAGGCCTTTTTTATCTTTCTTCCAAATCTTCTGTTTGCAGACAGGAACAGAAGTGGAGCATTTCTCAAAAAGAAACCAAACAAAGCCCAACAAGTTGGATACTTATGTTATACTGGCTGATAAATTCTGCCAGAAGCCATTTTTAGCACCCTAAAACAGTACCCTCTTCACACTGCCCCCGCTTAGCTCATGTGAATTTTAGTCCAAAACCATAAGTTTATCTTCCAACAACCCCTAGACAAGAGCTTGATTTTCAAGCTGCATCAATCATTAAACCACACAAGACTGAAGAGTATTTTTAGAGGTTGCCAAAAAGATATCTATATTTGTGATATGTCATTCTTTAAACAAGTGATCAACGCCTTTTCATGCAACTGCAGTGGCAGGATTGGAGATCCTGCAAAGTAAAATATAAACCCCAAAGTGTCTGGGAAGCTATTTATTTATCACTTATGCATGATGCTAAACTAATCTCTGATTCTGGAAGTAATTGGAAATAATCATAGGAGTAACATAACTTTGACACTAATTTAGGAACTTCCCAGACAAGAACTTAGCTTTGCACCAGTTTAGAGACGTCTTTCATTAACCAGAGCTGGACAGTTTCTGATCAGAAAATATTTTTGAAAAATACTAGGATTGAAGCCCAAAGAGTTCTACAGATCTGTGTCTTTTCCAAATAATGCAGTTTGTCAAAGTGTGTGTGTGCACGTGAATGCTTTTACTCTACCCCTTACCTCAGTCCTTCAGAAAAGTTTTATAGAGGTCAGTTTTAACAAGGAAAGGTAATCAAGTGAGAGAAAATATTTCTGCAGCTCTGCTTTCCCATATTACAGTGTTTGGAGACAGAAACCTGCTGAACAGTTCTAACACATATGCTTAGAGAATTAATTTGAATTATGTGGCAAAATGGAATATGCATAAAAATTGAACACTTCTGTATATGATAATTAAATACTTCCCTGATACAAATAAATTATCTTTGTGATTACACAACATCTGAGTAGATTATGTATTGTAAATCTACTCTTTTCATATTTCCCATTTAACAGACTGTTTTCCCAACACTTATGCTGCAAACTCCAAGGTAACAGAGAAGGATTGTGTGGCATTTTCAGTAGGAAAAGGGGGACAAGAGCCAGCTCTTTTATGGAGTTGTCCTCGCAGCAGAACAGAGCACTTGGCTAGGTCTATGGTCAGCTCAGCTCCTGCAGCTTTGCTTTGGCACTACACGGTTCCCCTGCTTTCCTGGGGAGATCCTGAGGGGAAAAGTCTGCCAGGTACAGCGTGTGGCACTAAAGCTCTTAATAATCCTAACACAGAGCTGAATTTCACCCCTTGGTAGGCTGACTTAGTAACACTGACTTCAATGAAATGGCATAAGTTCATCTGCCACCAAAGTGTTAAAAATCAACCTGCTTTTCACATTATTAAGTTATAAATGTATGTGGTGAAAACATTTTAGACTTGATGCTTCATTATCGTTAGTCAAATAATTTGTTCTGACTATGTCATCAAAAAAAAAAAAAAAAGAAAGAAAAAAAAAAAGAAGTACCTTCCTTCTGTTCTTAGGTGCTTTTTCCTGGTCTCTAGAACTACATTTATTCTTAAGTATTCACTCCTCTGGTTTGGCCAAATAGCTTGAAATCTATGAGCTGTCTGATAGTACCCTGCCAGGCAGCATAAATTTCTAACCCCTGATTACTGATGTGAGTAACTCTTTAAACCAACAGACTGAGGCATAACAAATAGTTATTTTCAATAATGAACAGTATTCATATTTCCTCCCATAAAAATGTTTCTCTTCAGAGAGCCATTCCCTGCAGTTAATCCAGACATTTACACCTGTCTGTGTCTAGCTGGCACAACACCTGGCTGCTTCTCTCCTTCCCTCTAGATCTCAGTGTTGGCATTTAAATTCCATTCTGCCTGGTCCTCAATGTAGAAACGTAACAAACATCACAGAAATTCATTTAAACCTTAGAGCACAGCTAAAATATAGTGGTCCAGAAAGTTTTTATTTTTTCTAATCCTGTTCTGGATTTGAACTGCTCTTTTCCTGCAAGAGTCCACGTGCCTGTCCTTCATTATAGCCTTGTTTCCCCACTCCCATTTCAAGTGGACATTATTAAATTAGCTGAGATGTCACCAATCTAAAGCTAAAACTCCTTTTAGGTTGCTTGCCTTCCTTTCTTTCCTTTTGGCCACCTTTGTGGTTTCATATTAAACATACTAAAAATGCATTTGCTCGCTTTTGTTGCTACCCAAGACTTGCACAAAATCAGGAAAGCTTTTAGTCCTCATCAGAGATATGAATCTCAGTCCTGTTTTAAATTATGGAGGGCACATTTTCCAATAAATAAACACACTGATGGAAAATTCCCGAGCATTTCCCATAACCATACACACAACATTAACTAATTTACCAGGTATCAAACTGCGAAGGGAGGGACCAGGTCCTTCTTATCCATCCATTCAAGAACAGCAGACTCCAGTGTTATTTATATAAGGTCCAGAAAATAAAAATACAGGCAGATATGTGAGAATAGATTACAAACCAAAAAAATTACAAAAAAAGGTCTACAATAATAAAACAGAAGCCAAGTCCCCAAATGTTTGGATGCCGGAAACAGAGTTGACAGGAGGAATGCTCCCCTCATCCATTTGCCCTCTGCATCCCTCTCTTTAGACCTCTCCAGCAGATTTTTATTCATGCCACCAGCTCCAGGGCACAGATCATGTCTGTCTGCGTCAGTCATGTGGATACTAATGCAAAACAGGTCGATGCACTGACTCTGCCACTCAGCCATGGCAGCAGGTGAAAGGAGACTTTGACTCCCAGCTCTGCTTTCTGAGAAGCAGTGAGGCCAAGTGCTGAGAAGGACAATTCTTGGCCAGGAAGAAGTCACCTGGAGCTTCTCTTGGGCTCTTGATAGAACACTAGAGAGGTATTTTCCTCCATACCTTATCGTGGCTCTCTCTCACCAAGGCCAGGGCACTTCTTCCCTCTAGTAGCAAGCCATTGTCTCCTCCAACAGGACCTAGTCTTTCCCCTCTCCCATGGATGCACTGTCTGGAGACAATCTGGAGCAGCCATCAGGTTTTAAAGAAATATGGCTTCTAAGCAGACACTGCATTCTGCATGGGTCAGAGCCCCTGGGCACCCTATTTTGAAGTTACACAAGCAAACAGAAAAAAAATCCTCTCACAAAGATTATTCACTACAGCAGAGAGAGAAATGCCCCAGTTCTGATTCATTTTTTTCTACAGAGTAAAAAACATTTGCACCCGAATATGCCGCCATGGGATATTTAGATGTAATGGCTTGGCATTACAAAGGGAATAAGTGCCTTAAAGAGAACAGGTCACATTCAGTGATGGTTTCTAATAAGTGTAATTTGATTTTTCCTAGAGCACATTTCTTGGAAAATATGTGCCTTGCTTTTCTTCTAAGAAAAGCAATTTGTTAACAATTGTCTGATCATAAAATTGATTTGACCTTCTGCAAATAGTCTGACTTCTCAGTGGCTTGCTGAACTTCTTGAAGTGCATTAGGTTGTTCATAGAACACAGCTTTCTCTTGTTTATTCTGGATAGCCTCTTCATATAACTGATGGAAACACTTCCAAAGCTTTTGTAAAAATAACTTCAAGGAACTGATAAAAAAATAAAGATTTGATATTCCAAGGGAATTTTAGTGGACACAGGGAGGAATATCCACCTTTGAACCAGCTCTGCTCCTAATGCTGGGAGTCTTGCACACTTATGGCCCCCTCCTTGCCAGCATGGATTGCTGCTATTGAGCTCATTACCCTCACGTTTTTCATTAGAATGAGTTGCAAGTGGCAAGATTTCATCTATAGCTGTTGTATCTTTGGAGAAACATCCCCATGTAGTTCAGAATGATTTGGGTGTGTTAGCTGAGCTCAAAGCCTGTTGGTTTGGCTTGTTTTGGCAGGCATGTACGGGAAGATGAGGAAGCCATCCATCCTGATCTGGGATGAAGGGGCAGCAGACACGCACGGGGTACTCGCGCCAAAGCCCTCCTGTGAGAGGAAGAAGGCTTTCAAGGCTCCACGCAGGAACTGCTTATTGCGGACAGGTACAGCTGAACATACTGCATTTCACTGACAATGTCTAGAAGAGGGGAAAACATCTTTATAATGTTGCAGCCAATACAGGAATTTTTTCTTAACATTTCCAAAGTTTCAAAATCAAAGCCCTTGTTTGTGGCCACTTCTCACCAGGGCTGGTCACAGACAGCTTAAAATGTGTGTTTAATGGTTTTAGCTGATAATAAAGTATTGCTCTCTCAGACTGAACTTTTAAACAAGACTACCTTGGTAGGACAGTGCCAACATGTGCAAGATCAGCTCTGCAAAGCTCCCACTGTCCCAGGGACCAGCTGAGTCCCTTCTCCTGACACAGCAAATAAAACCCCATGGCTCCCATCAGCAAAATGCAATTCAGTAACTGGCAGCACTGGGCCTTTATCAGATGGCAGAAATTCTCTTCCTGGTTTACTTTTCCCATGGAAAATACTGCTGCTTTAGCATCCACTTGGAAGAGCTGTGTTGTCAGTTGTTTGTAGGAAGGAAGACTTCCTGATTAGAAATAACCCCCTAATTAAAGCACAGCTTTATTTATTTACATGTCACATTCATTTGTAGTTACTCATTCAGTTATAAATTACAAGCAATGATATTTAATTTTAGCTGTGTGTAAAATCTCCTCTGTCAGACTGCCACCATTGGAAGGTGTTCTCTGGGCTTGTAAGAGCCTGCACAACACAGGCAGGTTTTGGCCCTGGGGAAGGGATGGCTCTGGCTGTGGTGCACTTAGTAAAAGAGCAGTAGCAAAAATAACATTGTAAGAGCAGGCAGCTAAATACACCTTCATAAAATATCAGGAAAAAGTAGGCATCTCCTCCTTTCACAAGTGGGAAGTATTAGATGTGGAACATGTCCTAGAAGAATGAGGTAAACAATCAAGAAACACCCAAGTATCTCCAAGCAGGGTGTTCACTCTGGGAATCCAAAGCCCATAGAGGCTGTGTTAAAAAAGCTTTTTTTTTTTTTTTTTTTTTTTTGCTCATTAATGTTGTCTTTCACTACTGAGTTAGTGGCTGAAACAGTGTTATTTTTCTATTTGCAGCTCTCTGCATCTCAGTTCTCTTTCACCCACTGACCTGTGTCCTGACTCTCCTGAAGAGAAGCCCAAAGCTACTCGTACCTCTGCTCAAGTCCAAAAACTGACAGGTGAAGCAGCACCCTCACAGCTCAGTTACCTGCCAGAGGCAACCAGCACCTCCTGCACCTCTTTCACCTTTGGTGGGACAGGGAAGGGGACCCACGTGGTGGGGAGAGGGCTGGGAGAACAGCCCAGGAGCAGCCTCCTGCAGCACGGTGAAAGCTCAAGGATGCTGCCTTTCAGCACCAATGTGGCCCTGAGGAGTCCAGCCCAGTGCACAGCAGTACAAACACAAGACCAGCCAGCTCAGTCTCCAACACTGAGGCAGAGCATTAATTGCTCTCCAGCATCTCACTGGATTTTAAGATGCACAATAGTTACTTTTAAAGGGCAACCCTCAAAATATCCTGTCTCTGTTCACTGTTGGACCATCTCTCCCCAGCTCCTGTAGTCTTACTGCTGCAGGCTCCAAAGACCCTTGAATTCCATTTACTCCACCACATGGCTGGAAGAACAATTGAAATGGTGTTCCCCAACATCCCTGCTTGAAAGGAAGCACCCAGAGCACTCTATGATTCTCTGGTCCAGGCTTTAGGACAGGAGAGAAAACAGAAAAAAAATTAAAACCAGAAAATAAAAAGTCAGACAGTTCATTATATGATCTGCCAGTGTCCCCAGTGGGCAGTCTAATCTTTCCTTGCTAAAGGGGAGAGGGTCCCTGGCTCTCCATCTAACACTACTGCACATGCCTGGTTCTCAGTAGCATTTTTAGCCTGAGTGTTGGATCAGGGCCATAGAGCAGGCTCTGATGCTCTGTGGGACACAGAGGTGGGTACAGCCTGTGTCACCAGTGCCTGCTGCAGCAGCTGGGCTGAGGCAGCACATGCAGCCCAGCAGCAGCAGGAGTGAACTCAGGGAAATGAGCAAACAGCACCAAAGAGCTAAAACTCCTGCTGTCTTTCAGCCAGCAAGGAAACCCACAGAGCACTACACATTGGCACTGTCACACCACAATGGAAAATAGGAGCATAGCTGGGATCAGAAGTGACAAACTCCTGGCAGCAGGAGACTATGAGCAGTGACTTCAATTGCAAGCCAACAAAAAAATGTGGATGAGGACAGAAAACACCTTCAGAATCATCCCATAGGCCTGCAACTCCCTTGCAAGCCTAATCTGTAAGGAAGAGAACACTAAGACACTGAAATTTTGGATTGTTCATTACAATGCTGTACTGTGTGCACTGGGATGTGCACAGAGGAAAAAACATCTGACATGAAAGGAAATAAAGAAAGAACTCTGCTGGGACGCAAAACACTAGGGCTTGGTTTTCATTATCTAATGCCACAACTCAGAACTGCCTGACTGATGATAAGAGATGTCACCCTCCCAGGGAGCTAGATCCAGAGAGGAAAAGGAAACCTTTCAAAACAGCTCCTGTAAGACATTAAACCAGTTTAATATCAAATCATACGGAAAACAAATATTTTAATTCTGTAACATCAAAGCACTGAGAGAGACCATGATAAAGCAGAAAATTCCTGAATTAAAAGCTTGAGGTTTTAATTTGGCAAATAACCAGTTACATGAATAATGCCAAACCCATATATTCTGCAGAAAATCCAGGAAATGTTTCCTTTAGTCAGAACCCTGCTCTGAGCCAGTGTTGTCAACTCTCTCAAGGCAAAATCCCATTATGTGCACATAACCCTGTACAATTTCAGCTGATAACCATTATTTTCTCCTCCAAAATAGAGCAGGGAACATGTGTGGGCTGCTGCATGGCTACTGCTTCTCTCCTAGAGTGACCTTCAAGCAAAGGATGCTGCCTGCTTGTGCACACTGCAGTATTCATGGTCTGATATTAGCAACATTATGTGAGCAAAGCTCCTGAAGACCTCAGTGGAAGTTTTGCTGGCCTGAGGACTTAGGAATGGCCTACATGTGTTTATAAAGCTTTCCAGTCCATTGGGATATAGGCAACTGTGTGCAAGCAGAAAATTATCACTGTGAGGCAATACCACCATGAGATAAATTATAACTGCACTTAAAAGTATGTTTAACTCAAATTAGTGATATCAAACAAACACTGAAGTTATAGACTGCTGCCGCTGACTAAGGGATCTGAATGCCCAGATGCTTTTAATCTGAGTGGCAATGAGGGATTTGAATTCCTTAAATAGTGTTGAATGTTGCATCACTAACGTATAACACAGAAACATGAAAGCAACTGGCTTTTCAAACCTACAAACCTGGCCAAAAGATTCTGGCAACATCTTTTTAGACACATCTCCCCAAGCATACAGTCATTAAAATTAGAGATTCAGAAAATCCTGAAAGCATTCCAAGTCTAAATAAATCTTTTCAGAAAAAACCCCAACAATTCCAACATGTTTTTCAATAGATCACTTTGATCCATTTAATAAAAATGTAATTGGGCTATAAAAGTCTGCTAAAAGAAAAACAACTTTAGCACCAAATCCCATGTCTTGCAACTCAAAACAGAAATAATGGATCACCCAAGATCTCTTCTTTCACCTTAATCTCAACTGCAATAATTCCATTTTTTCAACCTTTTTAAGAAAGCGCAGAATTGGACTTCAAATAGAACAGATTTTCCTGGGCAACACTGTAAAATTATTTCCTAACAGAACCTAAATGTTAGTGGTGATGGAGAACCAGAGGGAAGCTGGTTACATGAACACATCCTTTTACCACTTTAAATTATGTTAATAACTAATCTACAAGCCAATATTATTCCTGTATATGTGTGCCTGTCAAAACATACTAAGAGAACATCCCCTTGGGTTAAATTCTCTGCACCCTTGTCACTCCCTTAGTAGCACTCTCTCTCTATTTTTGGGACACTTTTCTCCTGACTTTCCTCTCCTGAGCAGGGGTCAGACACAGAAACAGCTCCACTGAAGGCAGAGCAGGAAGTATCCACCTCCACACTGGATACTGAGAAGTGTTTCAGACAGCCTGAGGTGAGAAATTTCCCTTCATGTGTTCATTGTATTCAGGGAAGGACAAAGAGGGAGGAGAAGGCAAGAGAGCAAAATAATGATTAGTGTAATGGGATTTGCTATTTTTGTTAATAGTTTAATCAATATAAACATATACAGAACCCTCTGACATGCTTGCCATGCTCAAGTGTCTCTATAATTAGCTCAACACTCTTAGCCATGGTTAATATCACCTAATCTCTACTACTCACTTCTGTAACAACAAAAAAAAGGCAGAACTGGGATTTCCTGTGTCTCAAACTCAGCCATGCCCAAGTGACCATGCCATGGTGTGTCCTGGCTGTGCTGGATACTCCAGACACACAACGTGGGTGTGACAGGTCTCAGGACAGGTGGGATTTGCTCAATCTGAGCAGAATAATCGAATAATCCTATGGGTGCTGTGCTCCAAGACTCTGCATGTACCAGACATGCAGGTGGAGCCACATGTGCTTCTCACCTGCACTGGAGACAGCCCAGCACTTCCAAGGCTCTGCAGATCACACACACCTGGATCCTGTGCTTGTTCCCTTGCAGGAATAACTTGGCAGCAGCCCCTGACTTGAGAGTTCATCAAGGAGGTGCTGAAGAGATGCAAAAGATAGGAAAGCAGAGAGACACAAAGGGATGAGGCAGAACTGGTGCCAGGCTGGGACAGCACCAGGCCATGGAGGTGCCACACAGGCTTTGCTGAGTTTTGCCCTAGAGCAGTTGTATTTGAAATTCATACCATGTCAATTATGGGATGTTACTGGTGTCATACCACAGGACACAGCACATGTTCTAAGGAGCCACAGGTCTTCCTTACAATCCTTTACCTTGATTTTAGGCAGAGAGAGAGAAAGTTTGTGCTAACTTTTGCTTTCATCTCTCCAAATAGATAGTGCAAAAAGCATATATGAACACCCTTTAGGGGTATCAGTATAAAGCTAATTTAAAAGGCTTAAAACTGATTTTGAAATAAGCTGAGACAATCTCTAAACTGACAAGTGCAAGGCAGGGGGCGGGAATAATCTCTGCAAGGGGCAGATTTCCCTGAGGAACAGCTTTCCCCATTGCCAAACTCAAAGTGGGGGCACTCCATCCCAATACCTTTCCCCACAACCTCACGAGAGGGAACTTGTCCCATTTATAGCTGCTCATCTGTGAGCAAACAGCACTGAAACAGTGACTTGGACAGACAGCATCTGTCCCAGAGAGCCTGGATTCTACATCCCACAGTACAGGAACTTGGAAACGTGAAGTCACACGATTAGTTTGCTATAATGTGTCTAATTTATTTTGGCATTCCCTTGGGATGAAAAAAAACCAAAACTAAAACCAAAAAATAACTATGGACAATGCTGTTGTATCAGCTCTGAGAAGCATGAAAAACCACAACTGCAAGCAGAAATGTCTTATGGGTAGGTGAGTTATTTTGGCCTTTTAAATATTTATTTTAATAAGGAACAACTGACAAGTTTCCACTGTGCCTCTTGGATGCACCTTGCACTGCACTGTGTCACAGGCCAGCTGTGCCTAAGGCAGAGCCTGAAATACCATTCCCCACTTATAAATTCTATGTGCTTCCAAGTAGACACTGAGTAACAACCCTCTCTTGCCTAGGGCCCGCAGGACAAACCTCAAAAATTGACCAAAACCTTAAATACCCACTGCTGTGGCTGAATCCTTGTTTCCAAAGAGGGCTCCCACTCCTCTGCCTTTTTTCCAACGGATGTGAGAACCTGTCCCCCCGTATAGATAGGGTAGTGAAACTGATAGGAGCATTACAGAGTATGACCTGGGGAAAAGAGAAAGCCAGGGGGTCTGGAGTCATCTGTTCAGGAGCTTTGGACAGTGCTGCTGACCAACCATCCCACAACATTTGAACTTGAACGTTTCTGTCAGAGAAACCTTAACATTTTCAGGAGCTTGGGTTTAGGAAACTGAGATCAAGCCCATTAGACATTGATTGTCACATCAATTAGTCAGTTCTCCTAACGAGGAGATTTCAGTAAAACTCCTTTATTGGGAGCTTGTTTATAAAGCAAGTTCAGAAGCCAAGCAAAAAAATCCAGTTATCTTGGTTATTCCCTCTTTGTAGTACTACATCTGCTGCTGCTTGGAGAGCTGTCAGAAACCTGCTCTACATTATTGCTCTTTATCTACCTCCAAAACCATCACTGAGGGGCTGAGGCAAGGTGGAACAAAATCAGCAACTTGGACTTCACCCACTACTTATCAGATGAGTTTCAGGTTAGATATCGTGATTTCCTTGTTGCTGCATGCATTCTCCTACCCTGTTCTTCTCTGTGCTTACACATTTAATACCTGTTACTCAACTGAGTTACACTTACACATTCATGATTTCCAAAATGGAAAACCTCTGGATAACTAAAGCTGTATTGCTGAGAAGACAAGATTCCCTTTCCATCAAGATGAGATTACCGGCTCTGATTTAGTTAAATCAACCTGGATTCATGCTGGTAGATTAGTGTAAATGAGCCCTAGAAGGTCTAGAGATCCAGAATGAGTTTCCAGAGATTATTTTGTCCACTGGCCTGGCTAGGGGAGGACATGCACAGGCCATTCCAGACAGGGGGTCTAGCTTATTTTGAAGGAGTCACAGACCTCTCCCAGGAAATCTGCTCCAGTCCTGCACACTCCATTAGTATCAGATTAGTTACTAAAAATAAAGTGCCCTGATTTTCCCTGGAAGCAATTTAGCCTAAAGATTCTTGTCTTAACTGCCAGGGTCAGGATTACCAAATTATTGCCTTTTTCCTTCGCAGCAGCTGACAGTGTTCTGGGGAGAAATACAGTCTTCCCCTCAGCCTCCCTCTCCTGAGGATGAAACCCCCTCCACCTTCCCTAGCAATCAAGGTCCTTTTTGGACCTTTGGACCTTCCTGCCTTCCTTTTCATATTCAATCCAGTCCAGCTCAATTTGGAAGTACCCTAGGCAAAAGCAAATGCTCCTGCTTGCTGGATTATTGCACTTGCCACAGGGGGAACAGTCCTGCTCATACACTTAACGTGCCTGTTCTATAACAGCATGGTGTTCTTTATTGATGATCAGCTCGTGAGCCATCAAAATCTATCATCCTCATTGATAAGTGAACTACACATGTAGCTGTTGGTCCCAATCCTGTCATAACTATAGAATAACCTATATGAAGAGTTTATTGCAATACATAAATCTGTATCAGCAGAGGGACAAAGCACTGTCCCAGCTGCATGGCAATCTGACTTTGGTGGGGTTTTTACCACCTCTCCACTTGCAAGCATCACACTGAATTCTAACCCTGCTCAGTGTGCTCACTGCCTTTCTGAAATGTTGCCAGCTGCGAGTTTAAACTGCATGCTCTCTCTTGCTTCAGCGATTCCACAGGTGTAACAAAAGACAGATGCAAAACAAAACCCTCCCTAAAACACATCCCTATCAATTTTTCAACCAATTTTGCATCCATATATTTTCAGCCATGTCATCATTATAGAGGTACACGTGAAGCAACTTCAGAAGTCAAACCTTTGAGTCTCGTGTCTAAAAAAAAAAAAATGCTTTCTGTTACTCATCCCCTCAATTTCTTCTAGGTGCTCTCCAATAGTTTGGTTGTTTGTTCCAGTGTTTGTCCAGGAACCAAAGCTAAGCTGACAGGTCTATAATTCTAGATCTGCTTGTTAGCACCACTTTTGGACCTACAGCTCAAACCTGCACTATTGGGCTTTGCTCCAACAGACCATTTTAGTACATATTTAATTAAGAGGGAGAGACATCTGTGGCTGTAGAGGGGTTGAGTCACATGCTTATTGCTACACATGTGCTTGGATGTTTTTCTAGCTCCTAATAATAGATACATATATAAAAAATCCAAAAAAACAAGACTCAACACACCAAACCCAAGAAAACCAGAGATGTATTTTCATACAATGCTTATGACTTTAAGAATGGAAATAGAAACAATTACTAAACATCGACTTTTCACTCATCCTAGGAGATCATTCTCCAATACCCTGTGATCATCTGCACTATGGTGACTTCTTTTACTACTGTGCTTCTTCATTCTCTTGTTTTGTTAGATCTCTCTCAAATCTCCCATAATACTGCCTACGTTGTGCCTCCAGCACATTCTTCAGCCTTATTAGTCCTTCCTTTTAGGGAGATAATGAATTGATTAGATGTCACTTAGTCTGTCATGAACTGCTATTGACACCCCTTGCAGCAGCCTTCTGTGCATTCCAAGGGCGGTTTTAAGCTTCTGAAAGACAGAGCACTGACAGCTCTGGGAAGCAAGACTGATCTCACTCCCCGGGCAGCTCAAACCCACAGAGCTATTACATCTCCTGACTTCAGGATTACCTGTAGCAAT